TTGTCCTCTCTCCTCAACTAGTGATCAGGGCCCTAATTGGCCTATTTCCTACTCTGGTTCCCAATGCTTGCTCATAGGACTGCATGGCCATGTACCCTCCACTTTTTGTTGTTGTTGTTAAATCTGGGTCTCCCTGTTCTTCCTAGGCTTTAAGTGAAGAAGACACTTTCAGACTTAGTCTAACTGCAGATTGCCACACAGAAGATTTCATCTCCGTTTTTCCACCCTGGGATGATTTTCCCCTCCTGAGGGAGCCTGGTGGTTTCCTGTTTCCAGGGACTCACTATGTTGGTGCCACCATGACACCATGCTTAGCATGGACACCCGATTGGCTTTAGCCCTTCTGCAGCTCAAAACTCCGGAGCTTATGTAATCCACCAGACTTGGCCTTCCTAGTATCAATGAATCAATCAATAAATAAACATTATTAAGAGCCTACTGTGTGCCAGAAATTGTGCTAAGCACTGAGGATACAAGAAGAGGCAAAAGACAGTTCCTGCCCTCAAGGAGCTTTCAATCTAATGAATTATTAATAACATTATTATTATTAATAAGTCCCCTGGTAGCAGAGAGGGTGTGTTCCACCATACTTATCCAGTCTCTTTTTCCTGTGCAGTGACCTATGAGGGCTGATTCTGTACCCCATTTCTATCCTGAAAGGCCCAAGTTGGGATCTGATTATTAGAGGTAGTGCTGGTTTGAAATCACGCTATTCAGATAATATGTTTGTTGGACTCCAAGCTGACTTGTCTCCTCCCCTTCCCTAACTCCATCCAGTTCCCTTCTACCCACGTTATTGGACTTACTACCCACATTACTGGAGCCCCATAACAGGCATTATTCTGCTTTCCTTGGCATGATCCTTCTCCCTACATTAGCAACTTCTCGGTCTTCTGAAGTAGTTCTGGCTTTCTTGATTTGACCCCTATACTATCCTCTCCTATCTTCTAGCAGTCTTTATGTGTAGTTCTGGACTATGTGGAAGAGATTGTTTCCTCATCTTTTTGTATTTTCTAATTAGTTTTTTGGGGTAGCTAGGTGGTTCAGTGGATAGAATGCCAGACCTGGAGTCAGGAAGACTCATCTTCCTGAGTTCAAATCTGGTACCAGACATTTAATAGCTTTGGGACTTTGGGTAAGCTATTTAACCCTGTTTACCTCAGTTCCTGATCTTACAATGATCTGGAGAAGGAAATGGCAAATCACTCTAATATCTTTGCTAGGAAAACCCCAAAAGGGGCCATGAAGAGTCAGACACAACTGAGCAACAGCATTAGTCTTTTGTGGATGATTTTTAGATATTTGCTGAGGTTTATATAGCAGGAGAGCAGTTTAGGCTGCTCTACGTACGATTCGGGTCTCCAACTTAATTGAATGAAAACCAAATGCTTTTGTTGTCAACAAACAAATACAGTGGAACCTCATTCCTATATAGCTTTCACTCAATCATGTAACTATAAATATGTCATCTATAGACTGTCATTTTCAAAACCTGCGTATTTGCATGTCTTTATTAAAGATGCTCTCAACATAAGTTGATTATTTTCAGAAAGATTTTTTGGAAATGAGAAAGTAGGAGTTTGGTTTGGCAGTTGATATTTTCTCGGCTACTTTATTTGGTAATAAAGAGGTGGGTGATTTTTTTTTTTCCCTCAAGCCTTTCTTATCCTTTCATCTAAGTATCTTAAGAATTGATCTCTCTAGGGATAGAAAGCCCTCTAGGTATTCTTGATTACTTCAGCTACTTTTCCAACTTTTTATTGTAGTAACATTTCATTGTAATAAAATATAATATGTAAAATGCTTAATAGAAACTAGAATTTGATGGCTAAGCTAGGGTATGGATGAATAATACTAAGGGGATAGAATGTTTCAAGGGCTGGAAGGAGTCCCTGTGCTCAAGTAGTTTACATTTTCCTGGATGGAGTGGGAAGTGCAACATTTAAACATAGAAGTGATGTAATTCAAGGATGGAAAGAGCACTAGGAAGTTGTGAATCAGGAAAGATTACCTGTAATTGTAGTAATAGTAATTGCTCACTTTTATATGCACTTCACATCTGTGATTTTGAGATTTTCACATCTCTTAGATAAGCACTGTTGGTCCTACTTTATAGATAAGGGAACTATGTTTCAGAGAGATTAAGTAACTTGCCTAGGATTGCACAGCTAGTGAGTATCAAAGGTTGGATTTGAACACAGGTCTTTCTGAATCCAAGTCCAATATTTTATTCACTAATTCAACAAGAGGTAGAACCTTATTTCAGACTTGAAGGAATCTAAAGTTTCTAAGAGGTAGATGTGAGGGAGCATATTGTAGATATGTTAGACAGACTGTACAAAATTATGATGATAGGAAATGTAATTTGAGTTAAGGAAAAAGCGGGCAGATCACTTTGGCTAGTCCATAAAGTATAAAGAGAATACTGTAAAATATGTCAGGAATAATTGTGATTGACTTGAATCAGAATTGTTAGCTACATGTAATTTACTTTTCTGATCATTGAAATGTGTCTCCTCCCTTAAATTTTTTTTGCAGATAAACCACCACAGCCACTTTTTTCCCCACACCTTGAAAGTTGTTACTCATCATAAAACTTTTGTGGTTAATAGATGAAGCTTAATGTATCTTTTTTGATAAAATTGTTCTCTTTTCCATTTCATTGTTTTAACTTTAAAAATATCTCATTTAATTCCTGTAGTATATTTAGTATTTATGTATTCATATGCAGTAAATCAAAATGTATTTTTGTATGAGATTTACATCTATCCAGCCTTAGCACCTTCCTCCTTATGCAGTCTCCCTCATTTGAATGCTGTCTGAGAGATTGCAGCTGCACCCTCCCATTACCTGCCGTAGAGTAATACACATTGGTCAGAGTTCACTACAGCTAGCCACCTCTATCTACCTAACCATGTTTCTCCTTCCTGACGTGCTCCCTCCCTTTCACACTTGCTGTAGGAAGAGTGGACCCAGTACTTACGATTGCTTCTGGAAAGCACATGCCAATCAGTTACCCTTTTGACTCCACTTACCTTCCTCCCTGGCCATGATTCCCCCACATATGTTGTCTCCCCTTGTTAGAATTAAACTTCTTGAGGTCAAGATTGTCTTTTTAATCCCTAGCACTTAGCGGAATATGCATTTAATAATTTTTTTCTTTCATTCATCAAGCTTCTTTTACCCATCCTAAAGCCTTGCATAGACATAAATTGAACCCAGAAAAAGAAATTATTCATATATCTGCCTCAACCTGTGTAAACATACAGATTATGAACAAAGTAACAAAAATTTGAGCGACAAAGAAAATAGATGAAATGGAATCAGTGGGTCCTGTTAGAATAAGATAGCCAAAAGAGCTGCATGGGACAGAACTAAAACTAGTAAGATTGTTTGCTTTCTAATCTACTGTAAGGGATCTTCTTCAAGAACCAAAAATCATAGTATCATAGTAAGTGACTTATGTAAGGTCACAATAAATAGGTAGTATAGTAGCATGACTAGAACTGGAAGCCAAGACTCAGAATTTCCAGTCCATTTTTTCTACCACTCCAAGATGGAGGGCACTAACAACTAATAAGGGGCCTCATAAAGTTTAAGTGGTATAAAGATTTACATGAATTGATGCTGAGTAAAGTGAGCAGAACCAGGAGACCATTATACCCAGTAACAGTAACACCTATTTATTGTGACCTTACATAAGTTATCACTTACTATGATCAACTGTAGTTAACTATGATTAACTTAGCCCTTGTCAGCCATACACAGTGATCTGAGACAATTCCAAAAGACTCATGATGGAAAATGCTGTCCACATGTAGAGAAAGAACTATGGATTCTGAATGCAGATCAAAGCATATTATTGTCACTTTTTTTTGTTTGTTTGTTTTGTAGCTTTTCCCTTTAGTTCTTTTTCTTCTTTCACAGCATGACTTGTGGAAATCTGTTTCCATAATTCGTTTAGAGCTTATCCATCTTCAGATCTTGCAGAATTTGTTAGTTGACTAAGTGGAGAGACAAGAGACCTAAGAAAACTTCTTACCTGTACTGAGATCTCATCCCATACAAATTAATATGTACGACAATATTAAAATACAAACTAAAATAACAAAATGGAAAAAATGGAAAGGACCTTAGGAATAATTTAGAACAACTCCATAATTTTACAGATGAAGAATGTCAGTTCTTCTCCTGAATAATAATCCTTCAAAAATTTGGAGGCCAAAACCATATTCCCCTTAAATCTTCTAGGGATGTTTACCCTGGAATTTCTGGAACTAATTCTGTGTTACAGTTTTTGTTCCCTCATCATCCTGATAAATCTAATAAAGCATCCTGGTCACTTTTATCTAGATGCACATATACCATTTTATCATTATCCCTTCTAAAATGTAGTGCCCTAGATCGTTTCAGATGTAGTCTAGCCAAAGCAGGTTACATCAGCTCGTCATTTTTAGACTCTATACTTCTATTAATTACTTTCATTTATGGCTGCCATGGCCCAATGTTGACCCCTTTTGAGTATATAGTTTGAGTCATTTTCATATGAACTGCCCTCTAGCCATATAGTGAAGATTGTAAATAATCGGTAACAAAATGATTTAGGGATAGTATTTGGTGAATTCTCAGGGTCTCCATTTCCTCATCTGTAAAAGGAGAGCTAGCTACATGACCTCTTACATTTCTTCCAGCCCTGAATATATGATCTCTTGATTCTGCTGGTTTCATGATGTATTTAAAAATATCTTATTGATGTGTGACTTCTGAATTTAATTAGTTCAGATTGTCACCAGGCTCATGATTATAAATCATCATGTGGAATTAAGAATTATCCTTCCATGATGACCTCAGATTTAATATAAATGAGAATTATTTTATACAGATTGTTTAAGAACAAAATATAAAACTTTCTAAAGTTATTATTGTCTACTATGTTTATTTTGCTAATAATTGTGTTAGTTTCTTAATGTTTTCATTTAAAATATCTGAATCTCTTACAGTGCCTACACCAACTAATGTTGAAATAACATCTTACAATTTGAATCCTCAAGTATCTTGGAATTACCAAAGAACATCTCAGACTCCTACTTTCACTGTGGAGTTAAAGGACTATAAGTAAGTGTTAACTGTTTTTATTTTGTTTGTTTTTGTAAATGCAGCCATCCAGGGATCCTTTTGTTTTGGAGACCAAGGGATCCCTGGCTGACTGCATTTATTTTGTTAAACATTTCCCACTTACCTCTGTTCTAGGCAACTCTCTTCGACTTTTAAGTCACAGAGCAGATACCAGTCTGCATTACTAGAGGTAGTTCCTTAGCAGAAGCTCCTATACCACTCCATTCCCTGTGTTCTTCCCAGTATTATCTAGAGGATCTACAGCCTTTCCTCTTAATGTAGCCACCTAAAGTTTGCAGCCCTTCAATCAGTGTACAGTCCCAGGCTCTCCTCTGACCCTTTGCTGCCTTTCCCCACCCCTCAGCAATCCTCCTCATGAACCCGTTCTCTATTTATAATATTGTGCTCACTGCCTCCCACCAGTCCTGTTTCACCTGAAGTTTTCTTCATGTAAATTAATTAATGATATTGGGGAACATATATCTGTACTATATATGGGTATTAGAAGTACATATAGTTATGTCTTTGGTTACATATTATCTTAGACTTTAACTAGGTTTAATGAAATTAAATTTTTAGTGCTTTTAAGCTCCACCCTTTTTGAGATTGTCTCTTTTAATGCTATTATTTGGATGTGTTTATACGATGACTATCACAAGTTGCCTTTTCCTTTTCAGAGAAGGGAAGTGGAATGAAGTCTGCACCAATATTTCCCATCACTTTTGTAACATATTTGACCATATTAAAAGGCCATTGAGTTATTACTGGGCCAGAGTTAAAGCTACCATTGGACAAAAAGAATCTTCCTATGTGGAATCTAAATTATTTTTTATGTATCAGCATGGTGAGTAATGTGTAAAATATGAAATTTCTTGACATTTGAGATTTTTAAGTGTTTTTATTTTTATGAATAAATAAAAAAGCATTTATTAAGCACTTACCATGTGTTAGACAGTGTGCTAAGTGATGAAGATTTAAATGTAAAAAGAAAGACCTCCTCTACTCTGAAGGAGTTTACGTGACACATCAACACAGTGAGAAGGAGTGGTCAGAAAGGGTATTTTGGAAAGGGATAATGAGTAGAGCCATAGGACATTTGATAGATATGTTCTTTCCATAAAGGGTGATAGAAATTTTTGATTGCTATTCAGAACTAGGGTTGGAAAGCAGTGGGGAAAGGGTGTGCACAAGATGGTGTAGAGTAGCAGCGGCAGAAGAACAGCAGCATTGTTGTTCTGGGTCACACTAGTTAGGGAGAACTCTCACCAGTCGGGAGTACAGGTCCCCCTGGTGGAAGCGGATGAGCTGGGTCACAGGTGTGGAAGCATGGCATGAGGACTGCTAGAGAGAAGTAGTATTTAAATAGGTAGGCAGTGCTTTACCAACAAGTTTAAAAACATTTCAAAGAATGCTCAAACATTTGGATGGTTTAAAATAAAGGATCTTAGGCTTATCAGTGTATGATTTCTAATTTGCACTCACAGTTACCATGTATGTGTATGTATGTTATAGATAAATTTATTCATCAGGCAGTGTCTCATTGTTGTACATTCCATTCCCCACCCCTTATGGTCTTTTACTTCAAGCAGGACCTGCTGCTGCAGACTAATGAGAACCTTACTTTTAACACAATAATTAGAAAGTTTATATATCTGAATTAAAATTTTCTTAGGTTTTAGTTGATACTTAGTTTCCTTCTTTATCCCCTAAATGTCCAGACCCTCCTTCCCTCCACCTCCAAATAAAAATAGCTTCTAAAGCTTTGAGGGAAAACAGCTTCACCAGGTTAGTATAGGTACCTTCTTAGAAGAATATTCTCTATATTGAGAAGAAGTGGAATGGGGGGGGGGGGATGGAGAGAAGTGAAGAGGGTGAGTTCACTACATGCTGACTGACAGCCAAACAAGTTGCATTATAGTTGGTTTAATATGTTGTTAACAAATAACTCAATTTATATAGCATGTTAAGGTGTTTAAAGTTCTTTGCTCAAAACAGCCCAGTGATATTGTTAGCCCCATTTTATAAATTGGGAAACGTGAAGATTAGGGAGGCTAAGGATGACTCATCTGGTATGTATTACTGCCTCTCACTCCTAAATCTGTCACTTCACCGTTATACCAGTTTTTGAAGGCTGATTTAGATTCTTTTCATCTTTGATTGCAGCAGAGTCCAAATTAGTTTCAATTATTTGTAGTCTCCACAGTTAGTATACCAAAAGTAAGTTTCCACCCAAGCCCTTTACAAAATTGAACTATTTCTTGACTGCTCGTTAGAAAAACGTAGTCTAAAGTGGGAATTTTGTACCATTCTTCCAATCCTGCCTTATCCACTCCCAGAGTATAAGGAAACAACTAAAAACAACAAAGTTCCAAAGTCTTCCCTTTTAAAGTAACTTCAGTTTGAGTGTTCACACTCCTTGCTATAACATTAACCATACACATGTGAATACATAGGTACAGTTAGGCAGTTACCCATGTAGATATTCCTTTAAAAAGATCAGTGGGTTTATGGTTGACAGAGTACATACATTAATGGATGGGAATGAATGAATGAAAAAAATTATTAAGTACTTTCTAGGTGCAAAGAAATTTTTGCTGTTAAATGATAATATATCTAAAGAAGAAGAAATATCATTTCCTTTTTTTGTCACTTTCAGGTTTTTTGATATGTGTTGTATTTATCTTAAGTGCATTTATGAATTACACCCACTGGATGAGAGGGCTCTTATAGCAAAGTAAATTAAAATCAGTTAAGTGAAACTAATAAAACACTAACCTTATCTGAAAGTTAATACGTTTCACATCTGCATTAGTCCCACCTCCCTATTTTTTTAGACAAGCAAAACTATTTTTTCTTCCTACTCCCACCTCATTGAAAAGAAAAAGAAAAAAAATTCTTCTAACAAATATTTGCATGTTTAACTTTCGAGACTTCAGTCCTCAACATTTGTATGTTTAACTTTCGAGACTTCAAACGTTCATGTGATTTAATTAGTAATCTCATTTTCACTTTTGCATTGGCAGTCAGCCACATTCATGGTTATATGCAGTAGAGAAAAAAAAATGAAAGGCAAGGTGCATGCAACTTTGTGGAGCTAGGCACTTCACTGGTCTTGTTCATCCTGCTATTGTAAAAGAACATTCCCTGTTTTCTAGGAACATTCTCCCATGAAAGTTGAGAATTGACTATATGTATATTTAAACAAAACAAATTCTCCTAATGTCCATACGCAAAAATATGTATGTCTCATTCTGCACCCTAAATCTTATCCCCTTCTGTAATGTGTAGCATGTTTTATCCTTGGTTGATATCTGGTACGATATTGGTTGATTATCTGGTATGGTCATTTTATTGATCATATACTTACAGCTTTCAGAGATGTTTGTTTTTAGATTGTTGTTATTGTGTAACTTCTGGTTCTGTTCATTTTATTCTTCATCTGTTTATGAGAGTCCTCAAAATTTTTCATTTTTATAATGTTGATATGATAGTATAAATTCTGCTCACTTCCCTTTGCTTTTGTTCATAAAAATCTTTCCATGTCTTTTAAAATCATCTATTTGCTCATTTCCTACAGCAAAATCATACTTTTATCACATTTGTATACCACAATATGATGTTTTTTGACCTAACAATTTGCATTTGTTTTTAAGCTCTTTATGTCCTAAGCCATGATCAGTTTTAATACCCATACTCGGCTATAAAATATGTATACTTCTTTTTTTGTTTCGGTAATTGCCAGAAGTCTATCATATTTTTAATTTATCTAAAATTTTATTCAAGTCCTTAATTTATTTCTTAGAGGTTTTTGTTGTTGTTGCTACATTTATCTAGTCCTACTTGGGATAATTTGAGGTACCCACCATTATTATAGTTTTATTGTCTGTTTCTCCTTTCATTTAATTTTTCTTTTATTTGTAAGTTGTGCCATTTGTTGTTTATATGTTTAGTGTCGAAACACTGTCAAATTGTTCAACATCAGAAATAGATACAGTTTTTAATCCATAGAAATGACATTTTGGGGCCTCTTGAAAGAAACTCCAAAATATCATTTCTTTGGATAAAAACCATATCTATATCTAATTTTGAACTATGTGGCAGTGCTAAGGACTTTAGTAAGAACTTTATTTTCTTAGTCTTCAGTAACTATGGCTGGCAATTGACAGATTACATTACCAAATGGGTTGTTCCCCTATATTCTTTACTGTCACAAAAGAAGAGAAGACTCCAAATAAACTTACAGAAACTTGGCAAAATAGCAAGAGTGCTAGACTTGAGAGTCAAAAGAGACTTAGGGATTGGTGTCAAACTGCTTTTCCTGGGGCTTTGAGGATTATGTGCCCATCAGTGGTAGTTGGTTGTTGGATGGTGGGAATGGTGGGCTCCTTCTCTACAGAGATTGCTCATTGGATTAGAAATAGTACTGGTCTGGGTTGTACTACAGTTCTTAGGGCTCTTGGACTTTGAGTCCTGGTCTACTGGTATTTGAGGGGAGAAGGTGGTGGAGGTCATCTGATCTACCTGACTCGTGTCACCTCCTATCTTTTACGATACCTTGCTGCTAGACCAGCTGGCCTGCCCCATTGGTGACAGTTGATCAGTGACTGGCACATAGAGTAGTCCCCTTCTCCATGGGATTTGCTCTTTTGGACAATGACTGTTGGGGCCAGACTGAAAGCAAGGTTAGTTGTCAGCTGGAGGAGGAGTAGGGAGGTAGGGTGCTGCTATTCCTGGAGCTATTGGACTCCAAAAGAGAGAAAAATGGTAGATGAACAGCTGAGCAAAAGAGGATTTTTCTCTAAAATATTGTTATTTAGTTCTGGCCTATTGTGCACTGTACTCATTTAGTCTTAATTTGTAGTTGAATATGTATTTACAAGTAATGAAGTTGTACTTCTTGGGAAAATACTCTATAATTCAGATTTGTCATTCTATCCAACTTATTTTTCTGTATTACTCCAATTTGGTATCCTTTTACTGGATTTAGAAAAGAGAAGACCTTCAGAAGCACAGAACTCTTAATTGAATACATTTTACACTCAAAAGGCAATAGTTTGTAGACTATTCCTGTAATAAAAAAAAAAGAAATAGAACAGTTTCTAGGTAGGTGAATTGACCGTAAGCTAGAGTTCCTTTGACAAGAAAGGATGTTATTGGCAGAGAAAGTTAGTGAATAAAGAGAAATTTTTGGCTCTGCTACCTACTACTTATGTGATCTCTTAACCTTTCTGGGCTTTAATTTCCTAATGTACAAAATAAGGGATTTAGATGATCTGTGGTCCCTAAATTATTATGGCATTAGATAGCTAGGAAATAAAGTTACTGATAGGTCAAACAACCTCTTGATATTAGCATAAATAAAAAATGAGATCATGAATCAATCCTGTATTTTAACACTGATATATTTTGGTGGAACAGTTGATAAAGTGCTGGGCCTGGAAACAAGAAGACCTGAGTTCAGATACAGCCTCAGACATTTAGTAGCTTGGTGACCATGGGCAAGATTTTTGCACTTAACCTGTTTGCCTCAGTTTCCTCAGCTGTAAAATGAATATAATAATAGCACTTATCTCCCAGGGTTGTTGTGAGGATTGAATGACATACTGTTGGTAAAACACTTAGCCCAGTGCCTGGTACATAGTAGGTACTATGTAAATGCTAGTTGTTGCTGCTGCTGCTGTTTTTAAATGTATAATATTATAGTAATAATATTAATTGTTATAAACATGACTATAATAATAGCTAGTATTTACATAACACCTACTATATGTCAGGCACTGGGCTATGAGCTTAACAGATATTATTTCGTTATTATTGTCATTGTTGTTAAATTAACACAGCTTCACAATTAAAATGGTTTGTAAAGATTTGGAGTGATCAAGTGAGGACAGTCCCATCAACAAGCACTTGTATACCAGGCACTGGTATACTAAGCACTGCCAATATAAAGAAAGGCAAAGCCAGTTCCCCACTTCAAGGAACGCACGTTCTAATCTGGAAGGGAAGTTCTACTTCCTCTGCTTGGCTTCAGACAACAGAAAAGGAGCAAGAGACAGAATTTGTGGACAGTCAGAGTTCAGCTCACTATGAAGAAAAACAGAATTATCCAAAAGAGGATGAACTGTTTTGTATAGTTCAGGATGGTAGGGGCCTCTTTATCTCTGCTTGAAGGTCCTCAAGCCCAAGTTACATAACTACTACTTGTCAAGGATATTATAGTGGGGATTCCTGGTCAGGTATGAGTTCTGGGTGACCTCTGAGTTTCCTTTTAATGCTAGGATTAAGTGTTTGGTTTTTTGTTTTGGCTTTTTTAATTGGCCAAGGATTCCTAAAATTTCTAGTGTGACGGTCTCAAGAGACCAGGTTTGTAAATCCAAATACAAAGCTGAAGGTCAGCTTACCAACTCATTGTTTTAGTGATATTAAGGATTATGGTCAACTTTTCTACATTGAGAATAAGAGGGAATTAAATTGCATAAGGAATTTCTTGTATTTATTTATATATTTTTAGTTTTCAACATTCACTTCCACAAAGATTTTGAGTTCCAAATTTTCTCCCCATCTCATCCCTCCCCCCACCCCAAGATGGCATGCATTCTGATTACCCCTTCCCCTAATCTGCCTTCCCTTCTGTCCCCTCCCCCACTCCACTTCTCTTATCCTCTTCCCCTTCATTTTTCCTGTAGGGCAGGATAGATTTCTACACCCCATTTCCTGTATATCTTATTTCCCAGTTGCGTGTGAAAACAATTTATTTTTTTACATTTGTTTTTAAAACTTTGGGTTCTAAATTTTCTCCGTTCTTCCCTCCCTACCCACCCTCATTGAGAAGGCAAGCAACTTGATACATGTTATATATAAGGAATTTCTTAAGTGGATTTTGTTAAATGTTAGCTTACAAAGGAAAGTTATATCTTTTCCAAATATCTTATAGGATGATTCTTTTCTTAAAAAAAAATCTTTCCAGTATGAACTAAGTATTATGTAAGTATTATCCTACTTGGGCAAGGGAGAGACTATATTTCTTCCAAAGCTTTCCTTTATAGTAGGCTGAGACCTGGACTTTCCAGCTAACTCTCCACTTTCCAACCCTCGTCTCTGCTTGATATCATGTCCCCAGAACATGATGCCCCTGCATTGGGTCCCATTCACTTCCTTTCCAGTTTCCTTTAGTGTATTGTTTTCCCGTATTAGATTGTAAGTTCCTTGAGGGTAAAGATTCTTTATTATTTTTATCCCCAGTGCTTAGCACAATGCCTGATACGTAGTAGGTGCTTAATAAATGTATATTGTATTGTATTAAGCTTATATGCCTAAAGTAATATTGCTGCTTATTTCAGGAAAAATAGGACCACCTAAACTGAAGATTCAAGAGAAAAATCGCCAACTTATCATTGATATAGACCATCCTCTAACAGTTGTTGAAGGAGAAGAGAAAGAACCTGTGTGTTTTTATTATGATAGTGATTATGATGATTGCAACATATTAACATACAAGGTGTATTTGAACATAAATGGAAGCAAGGTATGTTCTGCATTTTTTTAAGTTAGAAATATTCTGAATATAGTATAAATTGGTTATCAGTAAAATAACAAAAGTACTCTGGATATCTGCACATAAAGGCAGGGAGAGGGTAAAGGGTAAAGAAGGAATGGATATTGTAGATGGGAGCTTATATTTGAATTAATCTGCATCAGCTTAAACTACTGAAACTCAGTGAAATATTCACTGTGCTTCATTACCTGTGTGACCACAAATAATATTTTGACCTTGATTATTACCATATCATATAAAATTTTAACTGAGGTGAAACAATTGTCACAAAGGGAAAAAAAAAAAACCTAGAAACTGCTTTAGTCAGCAAGCATTTGAGCACCTTGCCAAACAGAAGGAAATGGCAGCCCAGGACAATACTGCCTTAAACCATGAAATCTTTTGTGAAGTAATGGAAGAACACATGTGACCTTGGGCAAGTCAGATGACCTCTTTGGGATTTAGTTTCTTCATCCATAAAAATAAGAGAATTAGCCTAGATAACTCTAAAATCCCTTCCAGCTTTTAAATTTATGATCCTATGACCCTATAATGGTGGAAGATTTAGTACTGCTTTAGAATACAGTGGAAAATATTAAAAGTAAGTCATAAAGTTTGGCATAAGGCCCAAATCGCAGGATTTGAGAACTAGAAGTGACATCAGGACAGCTGGTATAAGCCATACCTTGAAAGAACCCCCACTACAAACATACCTGATAAGCACTCATGAGCCTTTATTCCAAGAACATTCATGGAGGTACCTGGCAGGAGGATATCAAGTACCTATAAAGAATAAATTTCTTAAAATAGAACAATTTTCTAGAATTTCTCTAACAATTTATTTTCATCATCAATGACAAAAGAATCATTACGTTTGAGATACATGAGATGGCAACTGACCACAGAGAGATGCCAAAAATGCTCAATTCTATTTCACTGCCAAAGAAAATGTCCTTTGCATTAGAAATGACTGAAAACAATGGCTGACAGAGACTTGATATCTAAGATAGTAAGAGAGCACTTTGTTGCCCTTGACAAATTTAACAAACTTGGTCCTGGGGCAGGTAGGTGGTACAGTGGATAGAGCACCGGCCCTGGATTCAGGAGAACCCGAGTTCAAATCTGGCCTCAGACACATAACACTTACTAGCTGTGTGACCCTGAGCAAGTCACTTAACCCCATTGCCTAGCCCCCCCAAAAAAAAGTACATAGACAAAACCAGGTGAGTCTGCTTTTTGGGGGCAGCTAGGTGGTGCAGTGGATAGAGCACTGGCCTTGAAATCAGGAGGACCTGAGTTCAAATGCACACTTGACACTAGCTATGTGACCCTGGGCAAGTCACTTAACTCCAATTGCCTTAAAAAAAAAAAAAAAAACTTGGTCCAGATGAATTGCACCTTCAAGTACTAAAAGAACTGGCAGATAAGACACTGTGAGTAGTTTCAGTTGAAAGATCATGGAAATAGGATGGTACTCCAGAACTGAAGAAAGGTAGATGTCCTTCCCCCCCCCCCCTTTTTTTTAAAGGAAGCATCTTTAGACTACATACAGGTCAGTAAACTTGACCTCAATTCCTAGGAAAATTGTAAAATTGATCATTAAATAAATGGTTATCCAGAAAAGGAAGTGATGGTTACAAAGAACCAGAGGGACTTTATCAAGAAGATGTTAGATCTTCTCTGCCATCCTCAAGCTTCCCATACTTCCCCTAGCTCCCCTCTCAGCTAAGCACCTTGCTCTTCACTGAGGAATTAAAATCACTCGTATTGAACTGCTCTCATTCTCTTCATCTGAAAATCACATGACATCACCCACTCTCCTCTCAGCCTCTGGGAAAGAGGTGGTCTTTTTTTCTTGCTAAGACTAACCATTCTACATGTGCACGTGATTCCAAAAGAACACCTATGTTAACTTTACTGAACAATACTGTGCTCTGACTTTCTCTCCGCTTGGCACTGTGTGGCCTCCACACCCTCCAACCCCCACCAAAAAAAAAAAAGAACCCCTCCAAGTGAAAGCAGAAGAACAGATGCCCAGACTGCCACCACCATTTGGCCTGATACCTCTGGTGCAGAAAGAGTAGACCTTTGCCCAGCTCCATCCATCCACCTTGTGTCTGGCCCCCTCATGTCGTTCTTCGGTCTGTCTGTGCTTGGGTACTGCTTTTCTGTCTCCCAGCGTGTTCTTCCTCTTGGTTGCAGCCAGGCCCCCCACATGGCTGGCCCCAGCCCCTGCATATATTCCTCCTCCTGCTCTCCCTTCTCTGTCCCCAGCCCCAACATGTCCTGGAGCCGTGTGCTTATCCTCTCCCTCCATAGACATGAGACCCCATCCTTCTCCATCTCCCTTCCTTCTCCACATCTGCAGGCAAATTCACATTATATAAAAATTGCCTCACAATGAGGTTTTTGGAACTGTCTTCTAAAGTAAAAGGAGAATTGTTTGTATTTGTTGTCTCTCCCATTAGAATGTAAGTTACCTCTGAGGAGGAACAATTTCATTCTTTGTACTTGTGTCCCCATTACCTGACACATAGGAGTTAATTGATTAATATCAAACTAACCTTACTTTCTTGAGGTTATTAAATTGGTAGATGAAGGGAATTCTGTAGATAGAGTATACAAAGATTTTAGTCAAACATTTGATAATGTGATTCACACTAAAAATGTCAAGTTGCTGACTAAATGATAAAACAATTAGATGGATTTAGGACTGATTGAATAACATGATAGTTGATAATGGTTCGTTTCATCTTGGCTGGATGTTTTCAGGGTGCCTGAGGTTTTGTTGTATTGAAAAATGTAATAGCCCAAGGGGCTGTACAAAACAGTCTTGGTCCTTTACAGAGCACTCAGTTATTAGCACATCATTCCCACCTTTCTATATTGAATAGTGATTATGCAGTTAGTTGTCAGTTCCCTCCAATTTTGTCATCTACAAACTCAGTTATTTAAATTATTCAGATTTAGTAAATACTTAATATGAATATGCTCTCTACAGCATGTCTCTAGATTGACTGAAGTGATGATTGTTTAAAATTTTTAATGTTTTATTCATTTTAATAACTTTCATACAGATCACTGAGGAAGAAGCTCAATCTTGCAATGAAACTCAATGCCGGTTAATTATACCAGCAATTTCATTTAATTCTGAGTATTGTGTTTCTGCCAAAGGATTGTGTGAGAACTCTGAAATTTGGCAAATTACATGTGAGAAATCAGAAGAACAGTGTATTGCAACTTCATCTAATCCTAATAGAGAAGAAGGTAATGTGTCATTAATCTTCATTAATCTTACCAGTAATCCTAATTATTGTGACTAACAACTATAGAAGGGTTTTCAAAGATGTAATCTAATTTGAAATTTAGGTAAACTCTGCTTTGAGATGCTTAGCAGCTGAATAATTTTATCTCATGGAGAAATTCAGAATACAAAAAAAATGTCCCTCAGAGCCATAAAATATAGTAAAACCTGGTTTAACTGGAATGCTCAAGAAAGAAGTAATGTTTTAGGGGATGTATTCAGGCCAAAGGGCCACACTGATGAAGACTTAAAGTTTTCTACTAATAAAACTTTTTTCTGCTTCCTGAAAGGTTCATAAGGTGTCTTTTTAGGCACTTAGACTTTATGTATAAGATAAGTATATCAGAGATTTATCGTCAGTTTAATTAATAATGGGATAGCTCTTTTTAAAATCCCTATAAAATATAGAACTTTTGACCTCATTTAAAAACACACACATCCATACACTGTAATACACAGTGATTTAAATAAAAATGAAACCATTTACTGCATAACCTCTGAAGTCTATTCTAATTCTTTTTTAAATGGGAAAATATATAAACACTGCCAGAACTTCACATATTGTGCTTTATAAATGTTCATTGAATGCCTTTATATGGATCTTTAATTTTATTGGTATGGATAGTGTTCCACTAATGCAGTTTGCAACCTTTCTACCTTCTGATCCTATGTAATTTTTGTCTGTCCTTCCATAAATCCTCCATGTAGAATAAAATTCTGTCTTAGAATTGTAACTCCAAGCATTTAAAGCCCTTTCCTTCCAGTATGGCAGGAACTAGGTATAGACCAACATCTCGCACTGTATACCAAGATTAGGTAAAAATGGGTACATGATTTACACATGAAAGGTGATACCATAAGTAGATTAGGAAAACAAGAATTAGTTTGCCTCTCAGATCTATGGAGAAGCGACAAATTTATGACCATAGAAGAGATACATTACTATATAGAAAATGGATAATTTTGATTATGTTAAGTTAAAAAGGATTTGCAAAACAAAAGCAAAACAGCCTGGATTAGAAGGAAAGCAGAAAACTAGGTAACAATTTTTACAGCAGATGTCTCTGATGGCCTCATTTCTCAAACATAAAGAGAACCAAGTCATATTTATAAGAATACAAGTCATTCCCTAGTTGATAAATGGTCAAAGGATATGAATGTGCAATTTTTCAGATGAAGAAATTAAAGCAATCTATAGTCATGAAAAAATACTCTAAACCACTATTGATTAGAGAGATGCAAATTAAAACAACTCTGAGGTGCTACCTCACAGCTGTCAGATTGACTAATATGGCAGAGAAGGAAAATGATAAATGTTGGAGAGGATGTGGGAAAATTGGGACACTGATGTGCTGTTGGTGGAGTTGTGAACAGATCTAACCATTTTGGAGAGCAATATAGAACTATGCCCAAAGGGCTATAAAACTGTGCATATAAAAAACTGCTGTAAAAAACCCTTTGATCTAGCAAGACTACTACTAGGCTTGGTGTTTTTTTTTAATCTCAAAGAGATTTTTTAAAAAAAGGAAAAGGACCTATTTGTACAAAAATATTTGTAGCAGCTCTTTTTGTATTGGCCAAGAATTGGAAATTGAGGGGATGCCCATCAGTTGGGAAATGGCTAAACAAGTTGTGGTATATGATTGTAATTGAATACTGTTATGCTACAAGAAATGATGAGCAGACTGATTTCAGAAAAAACTTAGACACTAACTGATGTAAAGTGAAGTGAGCAGAACCAGGAGAGCATTGGACACAGTAACAGCAATATTGTATGATGTTCAACTGTGAAAGACTTAGCCATGCTCAACCATACAGTGATCCAAGACAGTTCGGAAGGACTTAGGATGAAAATTGCTGTCTACCTCCAGAGAAAGAATTGATAGAGTCTGAAGATCTAAACATGCTATTTTTCATTTTCTTTATTTTTTTCATGGGTTTTTTGTTCCTTTGAGTCTGTGTCTTCTTTCACAACATGACTAATATGGAAATATATTTTGCATGATTGCACATGTGTAATCTATATATCAAATTACTTTTCCATCTCAGGGAGGGGAGTGGTGAGAGAGGGAAGGAGGGAGAAAATTTGGAACTCAAAATTTTTTAAAAATGAGTGTTAAAAATTGTCTTTATGTGTAATTGGGGGTAAAATAATTTTTTTTTTTTTAAATCCTTTCCTTCTTTGTCCGCCAATGAGATCAAGAATGAGGAATTAATTTGACCAAGTCATATGGTTAATGACAAGAACTCTAACCCAGGACTTTACATTCCCAGCTCTGTTTTTCTTCACTATTTCAAGGTAGCTTCACTTGACTGTTCCCACCATGGTCTAAATGTTATGATAGTAATTGAAATTTTTCTTTATTAAGAAATAACTAAGTGACTCTTGCAAATTATTCAGATTGTTGTACCTTTGTGCCATCTTCATGTTAATTTTGTTTCTTTTCTCTTTTTTAGATTCTTCTCTGCCTATGCTAATTATTTTTGTATGCGTTGCCCTTGTTCTAAGTATAATACTCATAACTTACCTGGTCTGGAAGAGAAAGGTGTTTCAGAGAAAGGACTTCAAATTGCCCAAGTCATTGGTAACTCATTTAAATTTAAATATTTTTCCATTAACTGTAGTGTATGTTAAACTTGAAGTTTGTAATACTTTTATTCATCACTTTTCCTCATGTGTTTGATAAGGAAGAGATGGAATGATTTTGGGAGACATAGAGTTTGAAGCAAGGTGCAATCATGGGGATAATGAGTTCAATCCATAAGACCACCTTAAGAATAGGTGATTTTATAGAGCAAGGACTGGGCCAGGTCTATCACACTTAAGGCCTGATGCTAGCCCATCTAGATCTTAAGGTTCCCTTACATATCTCTGCTTTTTAGTAAGTACATGGCTAGATTGTAGGAACTGTGTAATTGCCAGGATAGAATTTCTGAGTGCCATGTATGATGGTTTGAGTAGTTGATGGTAGAGAGTATGATTCTGAATAACAAAAATAAACTGTTCACCTTTATTCCATTCATGGTTCATCTTTAACAAATTGGCTAGGATTTGAGTTGAACTTATTTCATTGCCCTTAGATCACTCTTAATTTGTGAATGAACAGGAGGTTTGAATTTGTTTTCATCTAACATACTCATTTTTTTTCCTTTTAGGTCTCTGTGGTAAGAAATTTTAATTCACGTAACGTTTTAGAGGTGAATTCTGAATCGAAATATATTTCTGTTGTTGAAACATCATACTTGGCAATCCCAGAAAGTGAGGAAAAAAACACTGATCATTTGACCCCAATGAGTAGCATTAATTCTGAAGACAATAGAGAAAAATCAGAACACTGCCAAGAAATATCAAGCATGACAGAAGAAATGACTGTTGAAGAAAATATTACTGAAATGACCTCTGATAGTCATCAGAGCACAATAATGAAAGAGAATTATTTTCATTCTAACAGTAGCCAAGCTGAATCTGGCAGTCTCATTTCAAACTCTTGCCTTCCTAGGGATGTTTCTGAAAATAGGCATGTGGAATCATGCGACTTTGTATCTGACCCAGAGCTTCCACAAAGTGACCCTGAACCAAGGGCAGACATTCAAGACAACATCACTCCAAGGAAAGTTAACACATCTTTTGGCTATGATAAGCCTCATGTTCTAGTAGATATGCTTATCGATGCCAATGATAAAGAGTCTTTGATTGGTTATCGACCTTCCGAACCGTCTGTGGAAATTTTATAGTCTTCAACTAAAACAGAGCAAATCTGACAATTTGCATTTCCTGAAATTTGACATGTTCAAGTTGAGTGATACTGTGTCTAAATTTTGAGTCAGAATCCCTGGTTTCAAATCCCTACTCGTGTGATATTGAGCAAGTTACTTCATGCCTCTGGATCTCCATTTCCTCTTCTGTAAAATAAATTTTGACTTGATTTCTAAGGCCCCTTTGTACAGTACTTTAAATCTGCAATCCTAAATGCAGAACACATGTTGAATAAAGATATAGAAGTGATAGCTACAATATCTATAATCCTCAGTTTATGTAAATGTAATTAGCACCTTGAATGTGGAGTTCAGTTCATAAATGCATATATAATCTTTATCTGTGCTTGGTTGTAGTTAGCTATTGCTGGAGCTCCAATCTTTCAGTTAATGTAATAAAACACCAGAGGTGACATTTGAATATAGATATTCGTCATCTTTTATTTCCAGATTTGGGGTTTTGAATATTACAAAAGGTATGAAATGGATAATCATTAAAGCTAATAAGCCAATTTTTTAACTGAGTGAAATAGCTTATTTGACTAACTCAATTCTTTTACATTTCTGTTTCTGCCATATACTCCTCATGTAAAGGATTTAGATTAGTTATCAGGGCTGTGTGAGACTAAGCAAAATCAAATGTAACTAAGATAGTATAAGTCTAAGGCCATTTTGGATGCTTTTTGAAAAAAAAACAAATGGCTTGTAGTTCTGTGGGAAATCAATTGTACAAAATTAATAGGAATGTTGTTTAGATCAGTGTAAGATTTGTAAATTGTAGTGTGTGCTTGGAAACCAAAATTTCAACCACGGTTCATAATTTTAATTTTAAGGAGTGAGGGGAGACTGAGTCTCCCCATCTCACCCAACCTAGAAGCACGGTATCTACTTTCAGGCCTGATTGCATTGCTAATGAGCACAGAAACTTTTGACCTCTCCCTTTTTGTGGGAGGGCCAGTTGACAGCCTGGTGACCCACACTCTTAGGGGTTCACCATATTAGTGTGGACACCCAATTGGCTTCAGCTCCCCTGCAACTCAGAACTCTTGAACTCATATGATCCAGCAGCCTTGACCTCCTCCAGTAGCAAGAATTAGCTCCTAAGACATCCCATTTAGTCTTGAAAAGCTTTTGTTAAACTACCCTATAAATCCTTTTTAAAAATGATTACTATTTCTTAAAAGTAGATACAGATATTAGAAATCTAGTTTAAACTGTACTGATGTATTTTCAGTGTTCACTCGACAAAAGTATGCACATGAGACAGCATAAGATAATAGATGACAGAACTCCCAGCTTATGAGCTGTTGTCGCAGAATTGTCTAGTTCACACAACGCCACCCCCCCATCCTACCCCTCCGAATCAAAAGTCAGTCCCTATCAAGTGGCTGTTGACTCCCCCAAGATTAGGTCAGTTTTCAGCTCTTCCAGGCCTAACACAGCTCATTGAGGCACCCACGTCAGCGAACTTGTTTGATTTCTTCATGACTGTATTTCATCCACCGATTATTTCATTTTGTTTATTTTTCCTCTTTTACCTACCATTCCATTTAGTGCATCAGGGTTCTGTTACATAAAATAAGTAGAAAGTGAGAAGCCCTTTAATTTGATGTTTGGTGCTAAGATAGAAAGACTTTTGGAATTTCAGAAGTAAAAAGAATTATTAGTCCAATCCCTTGATTTTATGGGTAAGTCAAGTGACTTCTTTGAACGGTTTGTTATAGAACCAGAACCAGTACCTCAGGCTCCTGTTCTTTGCACTGTATTGCCTCGCTTCAAATTCTTTTGGATAGAAGATGCCATATGGAACTATTTTTCAAGGTCAGCATTATAAATCCAACTAAAATCCCATCTTTTGCAGGAAACTTTTACCAACCTCTCTTAATTCTAGAGCTTTTCCTCTATTAATTGTTTAAAATTTATCATGTATGTAGATTACTTTGTACATATTTGTTTTCCCCTTTTAAATTGTGAGTTTCTTGGGGGCAGGGACTGGTTTTGGTCTCTTAGCACAATGCCTGGCACATTGAAGTTGCTTAATAAATGGTTATTGATTGATTTATTACTCCCCTGTAGAAGGTAAAGCTATGAACTTTAAAATCTTCTATTTAAGGTGGGAGTTCAGTTCACATATCATTTCTTATCTGCACTACTCTGGGACTTCTCTTTCTCCTTCACCATGTCCCCAAATGGATGCCCTTCTCTTCCCTCCCACCCCCACTTATGTGTTGTCTTCCCCTATTAGGTTATAAAGTTACTGTTCTTCAACCCACTTGTTATTAGGATTTTATTGTTTATTCTCCATTTGGGACTGTATTGTTTGTGGTCTCTGAACGAATTATTTTTATTGCTTATTTTTATTATCTGTAAAGGATGTATTAACTATTTCTGCCTTTTTATATTTGTTTGCAATATCTGCCCTAGTACATGGTTGATATTTTTTAAAATTGCATGTTTTGCTGAAAAATATGTAAATTCTTTTGCTGTCCCATTTAGAAGTCTTTTAACTCTAAATTCTTCACTAATTTGTTCAGTTTCATACTCTCTCTTTTGTTTATCTTTCTGTTAAACTTATCCAAAACTGAGAGGGGGGTATTGAAGTCTCCTGTCACTATTGTGGTATTGTCTGTGTCTTCTTGTAGTTCAGATAATGTTCCCTTTATAAATTTGGAAGCTAATGCATTTGGAGTATATGAGTGTATTGCTGGTATTAGTTTTTAGGGAATTGAGGGGATTAGGATTGCAAGTGGTTAATTGTGGGAAGTGAGTGAACCATACTGACTCCATCTTGTTACTCAATCCTGGAGCTAGCTCATTTCCCTTTCTATTCAATTATGAGTCTAGTCCAACTTCTGTTTTGTGAGAAAACTTTATTCAATAATGGGAATTGGGAGAAGACCTTTGAACCTAGCTCTACGTAGCGAGGAAGCTGGACCACTTCTATCTGCTGCTTAGAGGTCCTTAACTGAGGACCTACGTTATGTTGACCAGAAATCCAGTCAGTTCCAAAGATTGATTGATGGCAGGTATTCTCACAATTATACATCTCTAGCAATCCATATGTCTTATCTGAAAATTGGCCCCATATTAATTATTGTTCCTTTGGTTATTCACAGACACTTGAAGGGGAGGGAGACACCTTTAGGATTTCAAGGAATTGTACCTGTTCTCTTCCCTCTCTCAACTTGGAAAGTCCCTAATCTTTCCTCAAATTAGAAATAAAATGAATGTCCTGGTTAATTGTTTCCTTTTAATTAATCAATCTTATTTGATTGTTTTTAATGTATAAAAATCTGTCTCCCCCTGTATTATGGGTCCAGTGCCAAAGCTGAGGAAGGTGACTGGTCCTGATGTGTTGGGCAGTTTGCATTCATTGTTTAATAAATGGATATGCTTAAAAGCTTGAACCTTTGTCTCCTTGGTCATTTCATCTTTCACTCACCACAGTTTGTTGCCTGCTTCCTTTCAGCATAAAAGTTTCCTTGTTTATCCTTTTGCTTTTTAAATGTATGTTTTTACTTTGTTAAATGGCATGATTACAACTCTTGCTTTTTTGGCTTCACTTAATGCGTAGTAAGTTTTTTTTTTTTTATTTTCCATTCTCTCAGTTTTATTTTGCAAATGTCTTTATTTTTCTAATGTATTTCTCCTAAGCAATAGGTTATAAGATTTTGGTTTTTTGGCAAGGCAATTGGGGTTAAGTGATTTGCCCAGGGTCACACAGCTACCAAATGTCAAGTGTCTGAGGCTGACTTTGAACTCCAGTCCTCCTGACTTCAAGGCTGGAGCTCTACCCCTGTGCCACCTAGCTGCCCCAAGATTTTGTTTTCTTATCCAATCTGTCACTGTTTTCATTTAATTGAATTACTTAATCCATTCACATTTAAACTTAGGAAAATTAGCTTTGTATTTCTTCCATTTAGCTCTGATATTGGCAGTGTCTTTAGGTTATGATTTTTTCCCTCATCCACTGTAAACACAGTATATTTAATTACTTTCCCTTAATGTTTTTTTAAGGTGGCCCTGTTCCCACTCTCTTCCCCTCATCTCATTTGTTACCTTCAGCGCTTTGCTTACTAGTTCCTTTTTGTCTCCTGCTTTTACCTGTTTGTATAATTCTTCCCTCTTTTTTTTTTCCTCTTAGTCAAGTAGATTGTGCCTTCCTATCTCTTCCCAGTCAACTAGTCCTGTTCACTAGCTTTGTTTTGCTTTTTTTTGTCTTTTTTGCATCCCTTTCCAAAATGGATTTCTCTCATTCTTCATTATTGATCCAACCTTTCTGTCTACTCTAGACCCTCATTCTCAGATTCATGTCTCCTATAATTGGTCTCTCATGCTATCCACACTTCCAAGGTGTTCATTCTAAGATATCCCCTTGAGGCCATTTCAACCACTGCCTTGTAGAGCTTGTTCTGTTGACATAGTACCTTACTCCAGAAACAGTGGTATTTGATGAATATGTCAGAGAAGACACTGCCCCATGGTAGGGCTACTCTCTTTCCCTGATTATACAACCCACCACTGATCTATATAGTCTTATATTATTCAAATTTCCATTCCTTTGTATTTGAAAATCTTTTTCCTGATAGCTTGCAGAATTTGTTGTTTCTAAATTGAATTGTTAAATTTAACCAAAGAATTTGGAATTTGCAGAGCCTTGGATTTTTTTTTTTCTGGAAGTGATCTGTGAAGTCTTTCAGTTAATACTTCGTTTTCTACGTTCCAAACTTTTAGGCTACTGTCTTCTATTATTTCCTGCATTGTGGTGTCAAAAGTTTTTTGTCCTGTAATTTTTTTTTTGAGACTTATGATCCTTAGGTTGTCTCTATTCATCCTTTCTTTGAGATCAGTATGTTTTGCTTGCAGAGTGAGCAGATTTTCTTTTAGTGTTATTTTGCTTTCTCTTCTAGATTGTCCCTCACTTCTGTATATTTGCCTTCCCGATCTATTATTTTCTTTCATTTCTTTAATGAGACTTGCCACCAGAGTTTCTAGTTTCTCCATTCTACCCATTATTTTTGCTGTGCAGATCATAAATTGTGCTCTCATGTTTCTCATTTTCTTTTGAACCACTCTAGAACAGTGTATTCTGGTTCCAGATTCTCCCATGCCATAGGGTCCTCTGTCTCATCAAGTGTTAAATTATTTTCCTTTGTTATACAGTATTCATTCATAGATGCCTGAACTTGTTTACTTGATTTGGTGGCCATATCTTCTTCTGTTATTTATGTTTTCCCTATTGATTTATCAATGTTCAAAATCTTTGAATTTTCTTCTTCCTGAGATATTTGGCAATTTGTTGTTGTGGTTTTTTTTTTTTTTGTCCCCCCTGAGTTTCCCTTATTCACTTTCTAACTTTTCAATCCTCTGATGGTGATTTCCTTAAGGGCTGGATCTCAGAGTCTCAGTCTCTGTGGCTGGACAATTCATAGTTCACCAACTTAAGTCACAGCCCCAAGTGACTTTTCAGTGGTCAGAACGGACCCCAGCTAGATACTGTGCCCTTTTTCTCACCCCCCACCACTCCCCATGGTATCCTGCCCTCATGTCCTGTCCCACGCCTTCTGTTCTTTATTTTCTCTGGCCTAAAACTGGTAGTTCAGAGATATGCCGTGCTAGTGTCATGGGGTTGTTTGCCATTGCATCTCTGGTGGTATGGTGTTGTTTTTCTTGGCATGGGCACTAGCCGTTCAGAGTTTAGCAGAGTTGATAGGTTGTGGCCCCTGGAAGGCTTTTGCTCCTGAAGCAAGGGCTGTGGCAGCCCTGACTATCGGTCCTAGCAGAGAAACTTCCACAGGCTGGAGCTGGTCTCCATGGCACTGGAAAGGGGGGGGGGTTGCACTGGGGTTTGGGGGTGGGTTTTGTGATAAGCCCCTCCTGGGTCCTTGAGTCTACTAAATAGCAGGCTAGCATGGGAGGTGGAAGAGAGATGCTGAATGAACTCAGAGTCAGTGAGCATCAGTTGATGGATTTGGGGTTTGTTTTGTTTTGTTTTACCTTCTTTTGGATGCTGGGTATCCGCTGCCATTGAGACAACTAAAGTTTTATTTTTGGAGCATAAGTTCAGTTTTGGAGAGGTTTGAGACATTGTGAGGATCAGAGATATTGTCTAGTCCTCCATCTTATTCACATGACCCAGAAGCCCTGTTGGATTTCTAGGATGTAGTTCCTCTAGTCGTACTGACGAGATGTCATTGAGAATGACAAGATACTTGCTTATGAGTCATACTCATTTTGGATTTCATCTTCTTGTAACCATTTTTATTCTGTCTTTCCCGATCAAAAAATCATTTTCCTCAAAGGAGAAAATGGAAACAAGAGTTGGGTAGTTCTGTCTACTCTTTATTATCCATTATTATCCTTTCATCCACTCAGCATTCCCATCCATTGCTGATCCTTCATTGGCCTCCAACAAGACCCCCCAAAAAGTACTTTCTTGGAATCATGGTATCCTTTTGTATGCATCCTCTATTGCCTGTGCTTAATTCCATTGTATATGTGTGTAGGTATACATATGTTTTATATAAGATAGAAGTGCCTGTCATATATGAATATATATTGTATACATCTGTATGTATGTGTGTTTTACAAATCTAAATTGATTAATGAGTTTCCTTCGTAGCCACCCCAGTTCTCTTTAACAACTTCCCTTTTCCTTGTTAAAAGAATCTTGGAATGTTGTCTCTCCTTACTTGGAAACCCAGGTTTCCTTCAAGACTCACCCTCAGGTACCTCCTTCAGAAGTTCTTTTCCTGGTCCCCACCAGCTGCTAAATGCCTTACCCTCCAAGGCTACTTTATATCTATTTTATGTTTGGTATATACCTATGAAAATATTGTCTCCCCCTATGTATTAGTCCTTGAGGTAGGAACAGTTTTGCTATTGTGCAAACAAAATATACAAGGGGCAGCTAGGTAGTGCAGTGGATAGAGCACTGGCCCTGGAGTCAGGAGAACCTGAGTTCAAATGCAGCCTCAGACACTTGACACTAGCTATGTGACCCTGGGCAAGTCACTTAACTCCAATTGCTTCACAAAAAAAAAACAAAAAAACAAAAACAAAACAAAATATATAGATACCTCTAGTGCCTAACACAATGTCTAGAAAATGGTAGGTGCTTATAAATACTTACTAAATAACATGAGTAAAATACCATTCCCTCTGACCCAGAGATTCCAATACTAGGCTTACATCCCAAGGAAATCATTGATTAAAAGAAAGTCCCAATATATACCAAAATATTTCTAACAGCACTTTTTGTGGTGGCAAAGAATTGTCAACAAAGTAGGTGAGTACTGATTGAGGAAAGACTAAACAAATTGTGGTATGTGAATGTGATGGAATATTAATGTGTTGTAAGAAATGATGATTATGATAAATACAGAGAAGCATGGAAAGACTTAAATGAACAGATAGAATTCTGAAGTAAGCAGAGAGAAGAAAACAACATACACAGTGACTACAATAATGCAAATGGAATGAATAACCACAAAACAAAAGTAAATGTTGCAAAATAACAAAGGCTAAGTGTAGCCCCAAAGAAGAGATATGAGAAGACACCTCTTCTCCCCCTCCCCCCAGCCCCACCATCTTTTGCAAAGGTGAAGGATATTTTCAGCTTAGAGAGACAGATGGGGATAGATAGATTTTGCTGATTTTCTTTTCTTCATCTTTTAAAAAAATATTATTTATCATATAGAATGGCTATCTGAGAGGAACTGGGGAAAGAATACAGGGGAAATTTCAGTGATTTAAAAACAAAAGATCAGTAAGAAAATTTTAAATATAAATGTTTGATTGATTGAATCATTTCTGTTTGTCTTTAGAATTGCATTCTTGAGCTTCCCAACTTCTTGGGTCCACTTCCTCTGTAGAATTTTAAGCCATGAGAGCCTGCCCACACTAGAGGAATCCCAGCTCCTTGTAGCATTGAAATAAACCATTACTAACATCTCAGATATGTCCCTTCCTCTTTAACATGTATTAGTGAGTAAAAATACATCAATTTTTCTTTAACACTGAGACAGATAGAGAGAGAGAGAGATATAGGTATAAATATTGATATTGATAGAGACCTCCCCATATCTGTACATCAGACTCTGTCCAGCTTTTCTCTCCTTCTCTAGCATGAATTCTAAGATTGAGTGATTCTCTGCCCCTAAAGTTCCTATCATTTCTACTTCAGTGACCAATATCATAACCTTCTTTGCATATAGTGAGAAACAGTGTGAGGTGGGGAG